CCATGACAGCTGTAGTTGCACGGAATGTGTATCTTGCACCAAATGCGGTCCCAACGCACAGCCGTATGCAACTAGTCGACTGGGTCAATGATTTGGCTGGCACCCATCATACGAAGGTTGAGCAGCTATGCTCTGGACATGCATATTGTCGTATATTTGTCGATCTTTTTCCAGGTATGTAGGCTCATTTTTTTCTTCGTGTGGCCAACTGACAGCTCCGATGTGACCGTTAGGTGCACGTAGAGCTTAAATATTGAAGTTGCTTTAATGGTATCGATAATAATAGAAACACTTGGTCTTACATACAGCTCGAAAAGGGTTCATTAGTTTTAAACAACATTAATCTGTCTCTTTTGTCTCTGCTTTTGTATATGTAGGTACACTCAATATGAAAAGGGTAAAAGAGTCTGCGACTTTTGAAATCGATAAGATTTCAAACCTCAAGGTGTTGCAAAAAGCTTTTATGACCGTCAAAGTTGACAAGGTGTGCTAATTTACTTTCGTATGGTACCTGCACTCATATCTGTATGTATTGACAACTCGAGGGCTAAGTTCAGCATTTTGTACCGTAACGTACGCATTTAGAGCTAACAGGGTTATATGCATCCTCAAGTTCTGAGTGTACACAAACTATAGACTATTGCAAAAGCTATGCCAGAATATATCTCACACATATGTAGTAATTGAAGCATGTTGGAGAGATCCAGCAGTATCACTATTTGGGTGCTCTCTGAGTTTTGCCACTGTGCTACAATGATCGTCGACTGATATCTAATATCATGTGAACGGCTTCGTCTTAAGGACCAGATTTCTCGCGCTCACACGTTGATTCTACTCCCTTGTGTGTCGCTGTAAGTAACGGTTTGAAATGGATTGTAGAACAAGACACAGTGTATCTAACCTTAGTCCCTGCATCCAAGTATAGATTCTAGATTGCCTTGTTGCGAGCAAATCAGTACTGCGATGCGAATTGTCTGTCTTGTAGTACAGTTGTATCGTTATATTATGAATCTCTTAGGAACTGTTTGCCTTTGTTGCCTCTCAGATAAGCACACCACATGTGTTGTAATTTCGCTTTTTTAAAATTGTACCTTTCCCTGCAGACGGTACCCATCGAAGCGCTCGTTAGAGCTAAATATCAAGATAACTTAGAATTCGTTCAGGTATGGCTGAACAAGTTTGTGACATACTCGAGATTACCCTTAGACCGTACTGATGCAACAAATGAATAATCACTGTGTTCAATATCGCCCCTAAATTACACTTGGATGATATTTTGTTTCCGTCATGCTTGCGCATTATGAGTTTACATTCTGTAAATACTCCTGTGCGCACAATCCCACTTCGTTCTTTTAAAAATAGCTGTTAGTGTGGAATTGACCTCGCTCTTTAGGAGCAGATTGTGTCGTTTTGAATTGCTCTTGTGTTGTATGTTCTGTTTCATGTCCATTCTAGTGGCGATGCGGAGGAGTTGCGATTGTGTCACACCGTACAATCTGTCCTTATGGCGGTCTACGTATACAGGTGTATGATGAAGACACTCGTAATAGTGACACCCATTTTCCGGAACTTCCGTGGCTAGGGTAAGCCACTATTTCATCTCAAGCGTTTCAGCTCAACAGCGCTCTCGTTCAAACTCGCGCAATGTAACTACGCCGCACAATCTGGTTTTACTTCCAACCCACTGTGACACCCCTTGCATTGACTTACGACTACAGTAAAAAAAAAATGTGCGTTTCATACTATGGCTTTGGATTGGTTGCGGTGTACACCGTTGATCTGTCCCGCATGTATGCATCATGTTTTGTTGTCCAATCCTCTGTGACCGGTGTAACAGTTTTTAACGGTCTCTAGTATCGCAATATCCCAGTTGGAAATTACTTTCACACTGATGATTACTCACAAGGGTTAAAACGGTACCTGTTTCGTTATGGCGATATACATCGTGTGAATCTATTCACAAGATTGTGTACTTTAGCTACTATCCGGAGACCTTTTTATTACAAATGTAGATGTATGCACATACGTATACTCATCAAAAATTGTTTCCTCCGCAGTGGTTCCGTAAGTTCCATGAGGCGAATGGTGGTGATAGAATGCCTTCTGTTGAGCCAACGACTGCTTCAAGGCCGACATCGAGCGGTAAACCGAAATCACAAACAGCCCCTGTAGCCACCAGACGGGCCACTGGCGGAGGTATATTTGATATACATATCCCCATAGGTGTGAGTATGCAACATAATGCGAGTGTATATAGTACCATGCCAGTATTTGTGTGCTGATAACAACTGGATATTCTTTAGTAAGTACGAAAAGTTATCTCAAGTATATATTATTAACATAGAATGCTTTGTATCTATATTATACTGTGAAAGCCTAAGGTGGATACTCGATCACAGGAGTATGGGAATTAATTAAGCAGCACCTGAACACACTTCACTCTCGCGCGCCATCACCTGATGACGAATCGAAACGATACATACCACTGATTCTGTATATCACTCTGACAACGTGGCTGCCTCCCTCATGTAAAACTCATGTTTCCTTAGACTGACGAAAGCATTCTACTCATCGAGATCCTCTGGTCACGAAATAGCATCAGGCGGCTGTATTCATACCATAACTATATTTTACATTTGGTGCCCATTTCCTTATATGCGAAAGCTTGTTCTCATAAACATGTGTAGGACCCATTCGCACCGCCACCACCGCAACACCCACAACGACCACCGTTGTCCGTGAGGTGAGTGTCGTATGCTTCTCGTCCCACACTTCCACATACACGTCTATCGGCAAAATTCAGATCGAAGCAGTATTTTGTGGTCACGCCGGTGCGAACTGTTTCTGTGTACCTAGCGACTATAATATATATATATATGCTGCACATCTTATATAAAACCTTTCACGAAGGTCTCGGCATTTATTCATAGTTTTATGAATACATCAGCGAGCGAGAGCAAAATTTTGAGCCAAGGCCATGGATACTTGATGAGTTTGTGGGTTTTTCAAATACGTCTCAAGTTTGCTCTGACAGTCAACGTTTGCATATCCGAAAGCCTCGCGGTATGGCACGTTCAGAAAAAATATGTATAATCAAGTATATGAGTTCCGCTACTAGTCCGTTCTCCCAAAAAAAATGTATAGACACGCATCCCTCGTCGGTAGGACATGTGGATAATATAATATTTTGACAGGGAGGCTAAATCTCCAATGTGGATTCTTAGTATGCTGTATATGATTTCGGAAAGGTCATATGTTTTTTATTAAATTTTGATATCAATATTTTTGCTACCTTTTGGTCTGGGAACTCTGTATTCTATAGGTCGATCCGGCGCTTATAGAAGAGAACACAAAATTGAAGCAAGAAGCTGAGAAAGTTAAAGGAAGTTTACTAGCACTAGAGAAGGAACGAGACTTCTATTTTAACAAATTACTGACTGTAGAGGGCATTTGCCAGGTGAGTTCCATGTGCGCTGCGCCAGTTATATGTCCTTATGAGTGACAATTTCTGCTGTGGATAAACTTTCACCTGTGATCAACATGAAAGCCCTTCATAAAACATAAATAAGTGCAAATTGCACTCTGTGTTGATGAAGCCGTTTTTCGATTGTTCTGTGATTATTTTGGTAAGGTGTATCTCTCATAGTACTTTACAAGCCTATGCAAGTTGTCATGAATTCTGGACAGACCGTATACGTTGCACTTAGAACTATGGTGATCTCTGAACGATTATGTTTGTCCGCTTGCACTTTGCATTCCACAGGCAGAACAGGATACTGCACCCGGGAATGAACTCATAACGAGGATATTGGCTATCTTATACGAGACTGATGTAAGTAACGCTGATGCACATCTCGTCACAGAAGCAGGCATAGATCAAGTGCATTGATATGTTCGTATTGTGGTTTACGGTGTCGTCCGTCGTGACCATGCACACCAATAGATTCGAGATACCCGCCAAAGCGCTACTGATGTTGAAATTACTGTGCGTTGTCGGTGTGTTGTGCGAGTATTTGTCACGCGCTTTATTCTTGACCTGAACAATCATGATGTATCTAACACATCTACGTAGTCATTATGTGATTTGTACTGACGACCGCTTCAATTCGTGTCTGAGCGCTCAAATTGTGACCATTAAAGTGCGATACTCCTGATTGTGTTACCACCTGTTCGTGTGACACCAACTCATATGATCCTCTATGGAAACTTCCAATCTAGGATGGCTTCGCTCCGCCGCAGAATCCTGACACGGCGGATGTTGATGATGCGAATAACGAAATGATGCAAGATGTGAATGGGGAGGAATGTTTTTAATCCGATAAACTTGGCCATGAAAGGCCTTCCCTGTACGTAGTCGCAATAAAAGAGTGCCTCAGATGCAAAGCATTGCTCAATTCATGGTTGTGCGCGTGTTATTTTATATTGTTGATGACGCAATACCAACTCAAGAGCGTGAATATAGAAGATGGCGAGTGCTTTTTTATTGTCGGTTGCGCACATCGGATGCAGGGTATTTGGAGAATGTCAAGCTTCAACTATTATGCTTGTATATAATCATGTCTTAGACTATACATTCACGTAAACGTAAAATCACAAGCGCACGAATATAGGTAATTTTTTCTCCTTGCACAATTTCACAAACTGTTCCTAGGTGAATATCTACAAAGCATATTTATCGTAGATGTATTGTCAGTGAGCGATCACATCTAGCTCCGTATTTATCTTTGGAACTAGTACATGCTCCTCTCTCTATCCATATGTTGCACAGGTTCAATCAAAGTAGAATAGCCAGATATTTCTTGAAGCTTTAACGCTTCACTTCTATGATTGAATTGTAGCGACATTTTCATTGTAAGTTGTGATTATCTCAACTTTGTCCCGAATGCAAAATGATTGCAGATTGAGGTGCTGAATCCAGGCCCTCAAATGAACCCGTATGGAATTTAAATCTGAATTTACGCGTTGAGGTATTTAGTCTTCTGGCAGATGGCTTTACTCGTGACTTTCGACTCGTACTTGCTCAACCTTGATCGCTCGTTGTAGTTCATGATTGGGAGGATAAAATCATAGCTCCGGAATCAGAGAATACCCTGGAGCGATACCATTTTCAAATAGCCTCCTTTGCTTCGATAGTGTAGTTTGCAATGGAAAAAATGTGCATGTTCGCTTGCGTCGTTATTGGACAATGTAAAAAACAATTGTGAATAGTATATTACACTACTGTAGCTTAGAATTTTGCTAAATTTTGGGTTCGAGAGAGTAATACTCTCAGACTGCTCAGATACAAACTGATTCGCATATTGCATTATTACCATGTATTGTGGTAAACGATAAGTATTAGCTGTGCATATACTCGTGTACTTTAATGTAATAGCTCCATCTAGTCATATCCTGATCTAGGAGGATATTGCCAAGTGCAACCCTATACGTGTGAAATACTTCAAAGTGAAATGTAAAATGAAGCTGGAGTAACTGCATGGCAAGACTTGGCCAAACTATGAACAAATATATATAAATTATATCCCCTCTGCACTTGCTTGTGAGAGGTACCCAGTTCTGTGCCATTAATTGCACCACGCACCCAGGATGATGCCAATATACGTTTTACAAAGAATATGAATCAACCGTTGAGGTGTTAAAAACATACACTCATCTACGCTGTCATATCTGTCATCTGAGCTCAACTTTTTTTGTTTTGGCTTTTTTAAAGTTCATGGCTTTGCGAGGCTCTGCATGATGCATTCATATCTTATTATTGATTAAACTACAAGGCCTGAATTGGTTTATATAGGTATGTATGATACGAAAGAACCCAGTTCAATTTTTATGTGATATACAAGTCTAAATCTATACATCACCGCCCTTGGGCATTTCCCGACAGAACATTGATGCGGGTCGTTTCGTCGCATTGGTGACATTGTCTAGCGTATAGCGAGAGTAGTAGTACTATATCACGTGACACAATAATTTCTAACGTACTTATCCCGATCCATCTATAGGGTTGATGGATACTCGGATCATTACTTTGCAACTGTTTAGGTGTCCTACATACGAAGACCGGTGAGGAATGTACACGAGGAGCACTAGCCTTCTTGTTCAGCCAGTATTGGCAGTGCCAGTTTGCAATATTTTATTGCTTACTCCATGCGCTCGGCATTTACTCAGGTATCTATTTACGGATAAAAAGCGTGTTTCTGGGCAGATACACATTTTCTCTTTCCAATTTGGGACTAGTGTGCCGGCTATGCCTCGAGAGATCTGTGCGGATACATGAATAAGTGCCCACGACAACCGCAATTCCAATGTCCGGCATCGAAGAACGCAGTGACGAGTCAAGTAATCATATTCCGTTTCCACTGTATCGCAGCATAGTCATCTAAATTTAATTTTATTGCTCTTCGATACCGTTTGCAATTCGAATCTATGTCCGGTACATTCACACGTGCCAGGTTTGAAAACACAGTGTTGCTGACACCCGTGGGCATTCGTTGGCTGCTACCTTTTACTATATACCATATGAGCATATATAAATTCGCACGTATTCTATGCCTTTCGGAAATTGTACAGTGCGTGACAACTCAAACAGAGAGTCAAGTAAACATAATCCGCTTCTACTGTATCGCAGCATAGTCATCTGAATTTAATTTTATTGCTATTCGGTACCGTTTGCCATTCGAATCTATGTCCGGTACATTCACACGTGCCAGGTTTGAAAACACAGTGTCGCTGACACCCGTAAGCATTCGTCGGCTGTCACCGTTTACTCTATAGTATATGAGCATATATAAATTCGCACGAATTTCATGCCTATCGGAAATTGTACAGTGTGTGAAAAATCAAACAGATCTTTGCAATGAAAAAGTGGTCCTTGCACTAGTGAACCCAAGCTGTTGGCCAGGCTCAACTAATGTCGATAAATTGTTGATTTCAGATAGTGCAATCACAAACAAGCCAATTTAACTTCAAATTCCTCGACGTTTGTGGTTTTGTGGTGCCCATTGTCGGCTGCTTCTGTTTGTTTTTTTACTCATGCATCGATTGCATGTGATTCTTTTTTAACTACGATAGCGGAGTGACTATGAATGAAAGCCAATAGAACCAAAGCATCATTTTGCTGAAGTTGTTCACACACCGGACTCTGACCATTTATTGTGGAGATGTGCAATACTGAACACTCATGCCTGTGTTCCTTAAAATTCATCGCGTTAGGAAAGCGCTACTGCTATACATATAACGGTAAATCTGAAATGCCAGTGCATTTGGCACCTCAAATCGATTGATGTGTTGACTGTCAGAAATGGGGCCCTTTACATATACAAGAAACTTACATTGATACGGTATTTTGTGTTCGGAATCTCACAACGCAGGTCTCCAAGAGAATTTAGAATGTTATGCGAACCACCGAAATGCCCGAACACCTCACAAGTATTACATGTCAGAAACACAATTTGATGCTGATGTTAGCGTCTAAGCAAGTTCATATAACAACCTGATATTAACCTTCCATATAAACCTTATATATGTTTCTTATCATGTTTATCATGCCAAATATGTATAGGAAGATTTTTCCATCACTTTGAGTCATAGATCGCTACTTGATATCGATTCTTAGCAAGATACATTCCATTTAAATCTCACTGTGCTACTCAATCGTAGTCGAGCTAAAACTGAGGATTATTTTCCATTCCTGTGTATATTCGTATCATAGTTACCGCATCACGTGGCACATTTGTGATGGCATGGACTCTCACTTCTATCATGATTATATTGAATTTGTTTTATGCGAGCGTAAGAAGAGTTTCTCCTTTTCAAATATATTCTTTAAGTCGATGTTGTCAAGCAATTTTGTACCCATCGCCACATTCCACTTGAAAGCTTTACTCTTATTCGAATATTACGCTGCTCTTCGGCAGCGATGATATATATTGATGGCAACTGGCATTTTGAACTTCCACATGTCTGACAACACTACGAGTCTCTTTCTGCGATCCTCGTTGTAATGTACGAGCCAGCATCATGATCCAAAATATATTGATGCTAAATATACTATAGTCTGACAATATAAACGTATCATTAGCGGACTTTCACCCGTTGTGGTGTACCAAAGATCGTCGGACGCAGGCGACAGCGGCACAGACACGGACACAGGCTATTCTATTACTGACTCACAGGTTAACAAGTAAATAAATAGAAATACACCAAACAAATTTGAGTATTTGTAGCATAGATGCGCAGATGCATGCATATCCTTGTATCGAGCGAATGCCGGAGTTATACTGCGCGCTGTTTTTGTAAAGTATAAGTAAACGCATCACTAGGCGTAATCTCCAGAATATCTCAATAGTTTCTACCGAATACTACAAACTCCATGTTCGAATTTCATGTATAAGCATATCATAGTATATGGAGTGGGCTGACTACCAAGTACTTCGATAAAAGTTTACAAACCTGATCCAATATCAAAGAAAGCGCTAAGTTGAGCATCAGTTCTTGACTGTGAGCTAAAATATTAAGGGATTTTAGACTGAAAAACTTGTCGATATAGTTCTGCTCCTATTATTCATTACTCGTGTTTGGTTTTAGGTATCGATAACTAATCAGTATACGTCCAGGGCTAAATAAAATATAGTTGATTTCAGCTTTTAAAGGGAAGAATTTAAAAAGAGAACCCAATCCTAGCGGACAACCCCATTTAATGACGGCAAATATAGTTGGCTGTCCATGAGAAGTCTGATAGACCTATAAAAGTTTCCATTTTAGATTTCTGGTGGCCATATCAGTAGCAGGGGTGTATATGTTAGCGCCGAGAACATGGGATATATATCACATATAGTTGTTCAACGGCCATTCACTAACCGATTTCCGGCTGTATACAATAGGCTTCCATATACGGTGAACATATCAGCATTCTCATGAAGTTAAAGTTCATGTTAGAGTGCAATGTAGTAGACTTTAAATAAAGTGCAAATGTATATATTTATTTCCAACCTCGCCTTTGGTTTTATAACTAAGGCGATTGTGTTATTGTGCAGCCGCTCGGGCTGGCCAGGATAAAAACTCATATGGTCAGTATAAGAAACCTTCTGCAGAGCACTTTAACACTTCGATGCTATTCTATTTCTTTCTCTATAACTAAATCTTACGCTGATCACATGATGTCTTTCCGCATAAGTTGTGACTCACATTGGGACGCAGCTATTTTAAGAGTATTGCGGTTGACAGACTTAATTCACTCTCGGGAGTCGGTGGAGAAGCTTAATCAGCTCTCGGGAGTAATTTTAGCAACTTAATTGGCTCTCGGGAGTGAGCTGACTCTGATGATTTCTATAAATAATAGAGGGTTTCTTGTTGTAAAATTTGGTCTGGGACTTGTAGTCTATCAGCCCGGTGGAAT